TAAGGCGGATGCTGGGGTTTTAGACTATAGCTCACATGATTACTACCAATACTCGCTCAGAGTCGCTTCATGCAAATGTTGTAGCCCTGCTCTTGAAGGCCCTTGGCCTCCAGATGTTCCCGGCCAAACAATCAATTCGTTCCGAACCAGCCCAATACAACTTCATCCCCTCCCCTAATATTTAACTCCCCAATTGTTCCGAATATATTCTATTACTATATACCACAATGGGAATACATAATACATGGCCCGAACCTGAAACTACGCTAGGACCAGCTGAGTCCTGAACCGCAAACCTAAAAACCACGCTGTAAAAGCCTGAATAATACCCTCCTCTAATATTTAACCCCCCCCCCACCCCCGTAGTGTCAAGTACTCGCCAGTGTGGTATATTATAAGATATTAGGCATATTTGGTAGTTTCCCTACATAGTAGACCCCAATATATAAAAAATCCTCATTATGGGGACCTCCAAAAAGGGCACCCATAATTGCCATTTAATGTTAGCGGGGTGGGGGGCTTAATGCTAGGGGAGGGGATGAACTGCCAACAGGATTCCCTTAGAATCCGCTTGCAACGATAGTCTAACATGCCCGACAACGCCACTCTAGTTCTTGAGACCTTTGCACCCCAACCCCTAAACCCGAAACTCTAAACCCTTCACCCTAAATCCTTAACCCTGTAAACCACTGTATCTATTCGCCTCTTTCATCTTCTGTGTTCTGTTTCATTTTATTCGTTGCTGTTCTATTTGTCAGCTCTATACCTTAAAGCCCCGAATAAATGCATCCTAAACCCCTAAACCTAAAGATTAGATACCTTATGCCCTCACCCGCAAAACCTGAGATTCCAGTCCTGCGGGCCTTCCTTTTGTGATAGGAGGAGTGGGTCGTTATAGTCGCCCCGTAATCTCTAAACGTGATACTACCACATATAACCTTCAGGAATCTGACTGATAGGTGCCATTGTCTTTTTCCGCTTCTCCAGCCCTTGCTCACACGAGCTGCGACTCGACAACCTCGATATTTTATCGGTGTTTCTCAAAATTAGGGGTACCTTTTTTCGGGAGTCCCTATAATGAGGATTATTGTAAAATGGGGTCCATACTGGGTCTCCCAATTTCTGAAAATCACTATATCAATCCCCTTTTCCATTTCATGCTCCATCTTCTTTTTCACTTGAGTTTCGAATTTTGGGTTAATATCCTGATATGACAGCTCAACCCCAAGGTAGCCTTAGACAACCCCTGTCTAACCCGACATTCCAAAAACCCTAAACCCCTAAACCCTAATCCCCTATGAACCCTAAACCCTATAAACCCTAAACCGTAAACCCTAAACCCAAGCCCGTAAACCCTAAACCCAAAACGCGATCAAGGAAGGTTGAGCTTGGCGGCGGCTTCGCCTTGAACCTTAACATCCCGGATGCTGGGACTTGATAAGGGATAGAGTTTAGGTGTAAAGCTAAGGGCTTCGGGTTTCAGGGTATCTATAGGAGCCTCCAAAATGATTTTTTGTTTTTGATAGTTATAATCCTAATAACAACCCAAATCATAATTCTTAGTGGGGTTCGGAGACCGGTTTACGTTTATAGTATAGGGTTTAGGGCTCAGGGGCTTGCGGTTAAGCATTTCTAGGGCTGTACTGGCTCAGTGAGGCAGTTTAGATTTGTGGGGTTTATTAGTATAGCAGTTAAAGGCTGTAGGGGTCTAATGGCTTAAGGGTTTCGGGTTCAAACTCAAGGTTTGGGTCTGCACCAGGCACATCAAAGAGTCCTTGCTCATAAAGAACGAGTCAAATCCAGCAGTCTGGTGGTTGCTTCAGACCCTATTACCTCCCTAATAGGGGAGAATCAAATGAAAAAGAAAAGAGAAATGACATGGAAACTGAGGTTATAACGTAGTTTATTAGGATTAGGATTGAATGTGGGCTATAGTCTAAACTCCTTAAAGGAGATTATAGAGGGACTACTGTGGGGTTATGAAGGGGGATCCTAGGAGTCTAGACTATGGCACAGATGAGGCTTCTGTTTTCATGGTGGTATATCTGGCAGTTCTTATGGGGTTATACAAGGCTCGTTTTGAGCTGGGTCGGTGGCAGATGTGAATTCTAGAAGCGATGAAGCAGGTCGGAGAGTCGCCCCCCCTAGCTTCAACAAGGATATCTCGAGAAGTCTTACTATTTTGGGTGCAACTACTACCATTACCAGTATTATTCGTATATTACTGTTATGACTATTGTTACCAATGTTGCCACTACTACTACTGGCACTTACTGGTTTGGACTAGAGTAGCCCGTCGTAGTGTGCATATCTTGGTGGTCCCTCGATGGCATTGAAGCATGGGCTGGCTTTTCACATCTTATGTGTGCATACTCGTTAGGGCTTGCGTAAGGTTATAAGTGAGGACTGCGCAGGGAATATGTGAGGATTTTTTGAGGAGAGCCCTTTCTGGGGGAAGAGCAAGTCAGGACAGTTTCACGACTTTTGCAGCCTCTCTGGTGCGTAATTGTAGGTTGCTTTTTGCAGGAAAGGCAGGCACTGAAACAGACTGCTTTGTCGTAGAAGCCGCTTCAAGAATAAGACTCTCAACCTTCCACTTCAAATGTAACCTCATTGAAGCATCGGCCTAGTGAAAATGCGGGACCCTCATACGGCCCCAATAAAAACGCGCAGAAGTCTTCCTAGCGTTCGTTGGGGTTCCATGCTAGGTAGTTTCAGGCAATGTAGAATGTAAACCCTAAACCTGAAGCCTACTTGGGTCAGTCCTCATCACATGACCAAGTTGCTGCCTCCTGTAGAGGGAACGTTTTGCTGGCCGGTTGTGGTGCGGTCTAGCTTGCAAACCGCCTCGCGTGCCTGTGCTCCTGTATTGAAACTAGTTGCATGCCTCAACTTGTCCTGCGCATAATTCTGGTAGTGACCGATCAGATTTTTCTGTTCAGTTGGGTTTTGCCGCATGGGGTGGTACGGCGGTGTTGATCATCTCGCCTGTGCTAGACATTGTGGGCGTGTTGTATTCGCGATGGTTCGTGCCACCTTGTTCGTGTCCTTCGATCTGAGTAAGTATGTGATTCTACATCGCTGTCTACAGTCGTGCTGTTCGTCGTGGGAAAGGGAAGGGGCGACCTGCATGTAGTTGACTTCTCGAGTCTACCTTATTCGAACCTTGGTGCCATGAGAGAAGACAACCTGCTCTACTTGTAAATCGGGGAGCAACGCTGCCTTTCGCGCACTAGCCAATCTGCCGGCCAGGGCCACCGATTGGGCGGCTGCAAGCCGACCCTGCACCTCAAACAAAAAAATCGACATGGTGAACATCCGCCCGAAACAAAAAAACCCGACGCATTCCTGGTTATCCCTTTATTCCCCATATATAGTAGTTTCCCAAAACAAGGGGACCCCAATATGGATCCCAAAATGCTATCATCCCTGTTATTCTAGGTACCCTTCCAAAAAAGTACTCCTGATTTTGGGAACCCGCACCCCATATTCTGATAGAATCATTTGACAAGCACTTAGAAGGGACCTCTCCTGCTCCTAATACATGACGTCTGAGGACATCAGCCTCTAAACCCCTAAACTTGTATACCCCAAACCCTAAACCCCTAAACCCTACGCCTTAAACCTCCTATACCCTAAACCTGGGAGCCCTATACCCTATACCCCTAAGCCCTAAACATTACGTCTGAGGACATCAACCTTGTGAACATCTCCATTCTGGTGGCTGGCTTCTGGGTCCTTGTTTTAAGGGTTTAGGGGATTTCGACTTTGGGTTTTACATCTTGGTGTGGGTTTAGAGGTTCCTGGGGTTGGGGAGTGGGGGGCTTAAGGTTAGTGAGCTCAACAACTAGAATACTTGGTGCTCATGTGTACATTGTACAGCTACATGGAAAATAAATTCGAAACTGGGCTTATGTAGCGGATTATCGTCGTTGCCGGGTTTTCTGGTTCCTTATTTGGCTTTGCCTACCTCAACCCAATAGACCAATACATGGTCTCTATAACGTTTAATCCTCCCCAGACCTCCAAAATCCTCTTATAATCGCTTTATATCCCTAGGGATCCTTACCAGCCCCATATTATCAGAAGCTCCCACATGATCTCCTCCATTTCACAATCACCTACTTTAAAACCTTAGCCGAGCGCTCGACGACCGAAACTGCCCGGGCATTGCGAGCGGCAAGAATACTTTCAGGAGCCCAGGTAAAGGTGCGCAACTGCTGCCACCCACCATCCACGGCATTCTGACGGGGCCCTCCTGGGGCCGTTCCAAATCCTAAGCCTAAGCCCGAGAGTTTTTGCCTTGAGTTCCTTGCGACCTCCTGGAGCACTCCCAAGGGCTGATGATAGGCCTCGGTGCCTCAGCCTCTATAGCCTCTCCGGGCCTCCCACAGCTTTTGCAAGCCGCCATGGACAAAGACCGAGCCCGCTGCCCCAACCAAATCCAAGCTTTTTGTTGAGTGCTCCCAGGGCACTTTAATGATCTTAATGGCCCAACGCCACAACAGCCTCACGGAAAGTCGATATCAAGCGCGGCCTACGGCCTCACAGAAAGCGGATGCCGACGAGCACCCGGAAGCTGGGGAGTGGCCGAGCAAAATCAGGCAACCAACGTCGAGCACGGCTGCGCCCCAGCAGCCTCAGAAGTAGCTGGGCACAACAACCTCATAGAAAGCTGCTAACTCAGCAACGTTAGGAAGCCAACTTCAAAACACCTCGCAGACAGCCAGGAAGGAATTGCATGGAGCGCGGTCGGAAAAGTACCCCCCCCCCCCCCCCCGCTGGGATGCCTAAATTGTTTGAACTCCGGGGTGGTCAAGGGGTGGGTTGATTGCTTCGCACGGGTGAGGGCGGCCTGGGTGTGCACATGCACCAACGAGCACCCCATGATGTCAACACCGTAGACCCTAAACCCTAAGC